GACTAGGAATAGCTCAACTCTAATAACTAGATCAAACATCTCGTGACAATTATTACAGTTTTAATACTGTCATAACAAGGACTAGAATTAGCTCAACTCTAATAACTAGATCAAACATCTCGTGACAATCATTATAATTTTCATACACAACTGATCGTACAGTTTAAAATGGAACAAAATAAGACAGAATAATTGATCAAATGTTAAAAAATAAGCTGATTTAGGAGAAGCAAATATTAGTTAAACTAATCTCTGTCACATAAAATACTGAAAATAAAGTTCACAACTGTGAACTCAAATGTATATAAAACACACTCACAATTAATCGTACAGTTTAAAATGGAACAAAATAAGACAGAATAATTGATCAAATGTTTAAAAAATAAGCTGTTAAAAAATAAAGGTATCATATCAGACGAGTAGCTTAAATGCGGGGCGAAGGTCTCAATTGAAGGAATAATGCTGGAGGGCGCGGCTTAGCAACCATCCAATGCGCAACGATCCAATGCGAAAATTTAAAATCACATTTGGATATAATGCGCGTGAGTGCTTACAAATTTGCTTTTGGCGGAGATATAAACTGCGCCTTCCCGTAATATCCGGTCAAATAACGTCCAATAAGGTACTATATATTGTGATAGTTTAAATCACAATATATTAAAATATATAATTTTAAATATTATATAAGACGGTGTCCATAACATAATCGTATTTTATTAGTAAATTAAAATTAAAGTGCTTAATTTTTAATCTAGGCGGTGCACGATTGACGATAAAAATAAACTTGCTCGGATTTTCAAATTTTTTGTACCATCGTTTTCTAGAGACTGTGAGAATTTTCACAGTAGCAAATTTATCATACCTTTTTGGAATGATCAGTGAATTTCGTCTAGGTGCCATATTTGATGGTGCGCGGCTTTTGGAGCAAAATTAGGTGTAAAAGTCGCGTAATTTGACGAAATTCGTTGATTTTTGTCGTATTATTCTGTCATATCTTCGGTTTCTGAACATAAATCATGCTGAAAATTTGTCAGAACCTTCCAATCATACTTAACTACCGAACCTAATTTAATTTAGTTGGGAGAGATTGGCCTTGATTAAGAGGTCTAAAAATAACAAAATAGGTATAAATTCGTTGATAACTCAAATTCTGAGCATCGAAATTGCTCAAACTAAATTAGGTTCAGTAGAACATAAGTGTTTACGTAAGTTGACCAAATTTCAACAAAATTGTTATATGGGAAGTATAATAACTTTTCGATTGTTTCCAAAATAATGTGCTGGCCGAAATAAGAGCAAAAAACCATTCAATGGTCAGCGCGCGCGTCTTATTGTCGATGGCGCACTGCCTATTTAATCCAAATAGTAGTTAAATTTGGATTTATATAAACTCTTTTCGTTGGTTTCAATTTCAAGCAGTCAAGTATTGTTATCGAGATCATGACTCGGATCTCGAGTTAATCTCAAAATGAAATCAGTTCACTTGACAAATTTGATCACCTTTAATCACTTGGCTGCTTAGCCTTAACCTCTTCCTCGGTCGATCTGCTAAGGAGCAAGCAAGCGCAAAATTATATTCTGTGCAACGTGAATAATGGCATGTTTAGCATGTTGAGTTGGCTTTATTCGGAGACTTCTCTTAGTCTTATCAAATGTGTTCTGGCAGTTTATAATGTGGTTGTTTTAAATGTTTGCCCGGTTAACTGTGCTTCTCTTACAACCAGTACTGTACTGCATTCATTACCTGAAAAATGGCTTGACCGTTTGTTAAGCTGTCATAACAGCAGCGTCAAATGAATGTTAAGTATCTTTGTCACGTGCCAGAATTAATGTCGGTCACCTTCCGAATATTAATAATTGAATACTGTAGTTTATACAAAGGCAACCAAGTTTCTTTCTCCTGTGTGTTGATTTTTTATTTCATTGCGATGGGTTTCAAAGTCCGTAAACTAAAAGTTCATATTAATCCAAAAAATAAATAATTGCGATTAATAAGTAATTACGATTATGGATTAAATAATTAAATAATTTAATCTTTTTAAATTTTCCTTTCTGCCTGTATTTTTTAAACTTTTTATGGTAATACAAACTTTTTGCTTTACCAGAATGAGGTGGGGGTTAAAAATGTGTCCCAATATGGAAATGTCAGAGCTAATTTTGCCTATCACCCGGTACTGCCCACAGTCACATGGTATAACTGTATAACATGTGGCTGCACCTAATTTAGTCAGGTACCAATAATGATATATCCTGTTTTGAATTTACAAACAAATGGTGAAATACTCGTGGTCGTACTCTCGTAGATACGAGATTACCAAGTTTAAATCCCACCTTTGCTAGTTTAAATCCCACCTTTGCTAGTTTGAATCCCACCTTCGCTAGTTTGAATCCCACCTTTGCAAGTTTAAATCCCACCTTTGCTAGTTTGAATCCCACCTTCGCTAGTTTGAATCCCACCTTTGCAAGTTTAAATCCCACCTTTGCTAATTTAAATCTCACCTTGAAATTTCTACTCGATACCACTTCGTCTCCATAACTCTCTCTCTCTCTCTCTCTCTCTCTCTCTCTCTCTCTCTCTCTCTCTCTCTCTCTCTCTCTCTCTCTCTCTCTCTCTCTCTCTCTCTCTCTCTCTCTCTCTCTCTCTCTCTCTCTCTCTCTCTCTCTCTCTCTCTCTCTCTCTCTCTCTCTCTCTCTCTCTCTCTCTCTCTCTCTCTCTCTCTCTCTCTCTCTCTCTCTCTCTCTCTCTCTCTCTCTCTCTCTCTCGCTCTATATCTCTCTCTCTCTCTCTCTCTCTCTCTCTCTCTCTCTCTCTCTCTCTCTCTCTCTCTCTCTCTCTCTCTCTCTCTCTCTCTCTCTCTCTCTCTCTCTCTCTCTCTCTCTCTCTCTCTCTGCACGCCAGGACTCCCAAAGTATATACGAAATCATAAAATAATAAATATCAATGCAATCTACAGACCCCTGGAGTCTTGAAGCTGTCGCTACCTGACTCAGAGAAAACCCGTTGTGGGTTTTAAACGAGTACATGAAATTTAGTTTACAACATTTTTAGTCAAAAGTTTGACTAAATTTATGGTAGACTAAATTTGTCGTTCTTAAGGTATATGTTATGAATATTATTATTATTATTATCATTGCGAGACTAAAAAACCAGACTGAGAATATTGATTAACTTTCCATTCGAAAGAGTTAGATTCTGAATCACCCATAGTAGATAATTCGTTAGTATTATTTGATACATTATCGGACCTTATTTGGACGGACATTACTTGAACGGACATAATTATGAACGGACATTGATATGAACGCTAGAAGGCAATCAAAACCATCAAAAATCCGAATTTTTTTTCATCTTTTTTTTAACGTTTTTTAAATTTTAGCAAATGATTATACATAACAGTAAGCTTATCTGCGCTGTGCAGATAACTGATAAGGTACCTACAGGACTAGATTAGATACCGTCGGTCACATAACTAGGGAGATATCCCGGTTTGTCTTATAGTTATACTTTATCGAGATGGGCGGTATATGGTAGAAGGTATCGTAGCTGACAAAAGCCACCGAAGGTCGCCTATACCAAGTGGGGGGCTAGAGATAAAGCTTAAGCTGTACTTTATGCATTCAAGTATCTCTCTAGTAGAGCAGTTGGGATCATTCATTGCCCGGTACGACTACGAGTTGGACAGACAACCAGTTGTAAAATAAAATGTGGAGGTAGAAGACTGAAGAAGCCGAAGATCAACTTCAAGATAGTGATACTGATCATGCAATAATGTGATATTTACAATTCAGATTGTTAAAATTTTATAATACCTTGTTTTTATTAGTTCAACGATATAGTTTAGTTTAATGTAATGATAGCTATTGAAATTGACGGAAATTAAAAAGGTGTCATATTCTGGACAAAAAGTTCAAAATGTAAAAAATTTTGGAAAAAATCCAACGGACTTTAACTTGGACGGACATTAATGATTAATTGAACGGACTTTATTTGAACGGACATTAAGATGAACGCTAGGGCCTCCAAGCGTTACTTGAAGTAATGTCCGTCCAAATAAGGTCTGATAAGGTAGTTGATACTATACAGTATACTATTACTATGCTATAATTGATAATATTAATACTGACGGTCTTTTAGAAGTAGAGGTATTTCTTGATCCTCTTCTGCACAATAAAATCAATTTCCTAATTAAAAAGAATTGCGCCCGTTTGTTCGGCTGTCAGCGGACGCTAGATTTCCATCCACTTGCAACATAACAGCTGTCCAAATTTGATCATACCTTGGCCTTCAATTAATTTTTTGTTTCTTGTGTCACGTGAATTGGCTTAATTGACTAGCTGAATAGTTACAAAACCGAAATAAAAGTTGATCGTGGTACTTCAGCCCAGTGGCAGTATTCAGTTCAGACACTTGACAGGCTTGAGGCTGAGCGCGGCCCAGTAATACTCAGTAGGTCAGACAATGCAAATAGAAACAGAGTTTACCGAACCAGCTTAATGTAATTGTTAATTAGCTCAAGTTTGGAGGTGCTGCGAGTTTACAGTTGTCTGTTATGGATGTTATTGTTAAAGGAGTAAAATATTTGTGCATCGAAGATCAACATGATGTTGTCCCAACACAGAGCGCGTAAAAGTAATTTAATTAATTTTACTGATAAGCCGCGCGGCTGTATTCTGAATTATCGCGTGTAGTTTTGAATGTTGGTTCTCCGCAAACGTTTAAATCGAAGCTGTCATAGCAACGCGCAATTCTAGACCTGAGAAAATTGATACACTATAATATAATCTAGGTTCCGGTTTACTGGGCCGCGCTCAGCCTGTCATAATTCCGCCGAATCTCTATTTTATATGTTTATAAACATGATAGCCTCAGGTCCCCAGGTAAGGTTCCGGTGAAATGGATAAATAAGGAAGAGAACATATTATTATCATATTCATGTTGTGCTTAAAACTGGTCCCTCTGTTTCACTTTCAAATTAGTGGTTATACAAGATTGAGTGATGTTTTGTAGTCATACTTCAATGATACCAATTATTAGAATTCAAATCTCAATGTTCAGTCCGTTAAATAGTTCAGTAAGATGAAGTGTTCATTCCATTTGCATTGTCTTGCTAGGTTAGTGTAAAGTAGTAGATTTGGAGATCTGTGAAGTAGGAAGTAATTTCACTCAATCATGAATCAGCAGCCGATGGTGTGCGTTATGTTTTGAATTGGTGTTGACAAAATTGTGTTCACAGCTGCTCTGAAATCAGTTAATTATTCAATTAGTTGGTCATGTGATCGAAAGATTATAACACTAATATAGGTTCAAATAAGGTAGGTATATTATATTACTTCGGAATCATAGGGTGACAGAGAAAAATGGAGAATCTTTCCAATAACTATTAACACTACTAGAACGATAATGTTTAATTGACGAACCATTTCATTGATTGTGATATGATAGAGTCAAGGAGGGCTGATTCGATTTCGAGGATGACCTTTTTTTCTATAAGTGAGCCTATAATGGCATGTAAGGAACTGCTTCCTTATCATATACACATAATTATAGAGTTATAGGGGAGTGGTCTATATTGCAAACCCACCTACAACGTTCGTTACTGCTATCGTTTTTTGTTTAAGTTGCTTTTTTCATTCATTGGACAGTACTCTCCTTTGAATGAAATGCTGGAATCGTGCCAGGTTTCAGACACAGCGATTCGAATACATCAACGGACTCCGTATTTACCATCTCCAATAAAAAGTGAGCACGATGAAATACCAGCAGAATGTACGGAGTTTAAAGAACAAATGGACAGTTGCTATGAGGAAATTGTACATTGGAAAAAGAATATTTTTGAGCCCCCAACATGTAAGATAGGGAGGGAATTTGTAAAGGAATTATCTACGTGGCTTGAACATTTTAATATAGGATCAGTTTATCAGTGTTCATCAATCAAAACATTTATTATCCTTCCTGCTCTGCTTCTGCAAAAGCCATCCGCAAAAAGTAAAAAAGCTGAACATAAAGTCTTGTTGAAAAAACGGTTAGAATTATGGAGGCAGGGGAATATTTCTGCACTTATGAGGGAAGCAAGAACTATACAACGACAACTAGCGAGGAGCTCTCGGAAGCAAGAAAAGGATTGTGCGAGAACATTTGCCAACCTCATGTTTGAAGGGAAAGTCAGCTCTGCGGTGCGCATGTTGTGTGATAACGATAATAAAGGAATACTAGAAATGTCTACAGAGACTATGGACCAGCTATTGAAGAAGCATCCAGAACCAATGCCTATAGTGGAGAATAGTTTACTTTTTGGACCAATTGAAGAAATAGAAGAATCGTTGTTTTATAATATAGATGAAACAATGGTAATTAGGGCGGCAAAATTTACTAACGGGTCTGCTGGACCATCACAAACTGATGCTGATTTTTTTAGATTCATTTTGACGCATAAGAATTTTAAAGACGAAGGAAAGAAACTGAGAGATGAGATTGCTAAGTTTGCAAGGTTGATCGCATCAAAACCGTATAATCCTGATCTGCTAGACTCTTACGTTAACAGTAGACTCATACCGCTTAACAAGTGCCCAGGGGTGAGGCCAATAGGAATTGGGGAGACCTTAGGCCTTAGACGAATAGTGGGAAAATATTTGAGTTGGGAATTGAAAACAGCCATCCAAGTTGCTGCTGGACCACTGCAGGTTTGTACAGGACTGAAAAGTGGATCGGAAGCTGCAGTGCATTACATGCGGGAGCAATTCGAAACAGAATCTGCGGAAGCGGTGATTTTAGTTGACGCCAGTAACGCTTTTAATTTTGATTTAAATGCTTTTTTTCATTCATTGGACAGTACTCTCCTTTGAATGAAATGCTGGAATCGTGCCAGGTTTCAGACACAGCGATTCGAATACATCAACGGACTCCGTATTTACCATCTCCAATAAAAAGTGAGCATGATGACATACCAGCAGAATGTACGGAGTTTAAAGAACAAATTGACAGTTGCTATGAGGAAATTGTACATTGGAAAAAGAATATTTTTGAGCCCCCAACATGTAAGATAGGGAGGGAATTTGTAAAGGAATTATCTACGTGGCTTGAACATTTTAATATAGGATCAGTTTATCAGTGTTCATCAATCAAAACATTTATTATCCTTCCTGCTCTGCTTCTGCAAAAGCCATCCGCAAAAAGTAAAAAAGCTGAACATAAAGTCTTGTTGAAAAAACGGTTAGAATTATGGAGGCAGGGGAATATTTCTGCACTTATGAGGGAAGCAAGAACTATACAACGACAACTAGCGAGGAGCTCTCGGAAGCAAGAAAAGGATTGTGCGAGAACATTTGCCAACCTCATGTTTGAAGGGAAAGTCAGCTCTGCGGTGCGCATGTTGTGTGATAACGATAATAAAGGAATACTAGAAATGTCTACAGAGACTATGGACCAGCTATTGAAGAAGCATCCAGAACCAATGCCTATAGTGGAGAATAGTTTACTTTTTGGACCGATCGAAGAAATAGAAGAATCGTTGTTTTATAATATAGACGAGACAATGGTATTTAGGGCGGCAAAATTTACTAACGGTTCTGCTGGACCATCACAAACTGATGCTGAATTTTTTAGATTCATTTTGACGCATAAGAATTTTAAAGAAGAGGGAAAGAAACTAGAGATACATGATTGCTAAGTTTGCAAGGTTGATCGCATCAAAACCGTATAATCCTGATCTGTTGGACTCCTACGTTAACAGTAGACTCATCCCGCTTAACAAGTGCCCAGGGGTGAGGCCAATAGGAATAGGGGAAACGTTTAGACGAATAGTGGGAAAATGTTTGAGTTGGGAATTGAAAACAGCCATCCAAGTTGCTGCTGGACCACTGCAGGTTTGTACAGGACTGAAAAGTGGATCGGAAGCTGCAGTACATTACATGCGGGAGCAATTCGAAACAGAATCTGCAGAAGCAGTGATTTTAGTTGACGCCAGTAACGCTTTTAATTCTGTTAACAGACAAGCTCTCTTACATAACGTGAGAGTACTATGCCCGGAGTTGAGCATGATTGCAATCAACATGTACCGGAAACCATGCCGGCTATTTGTTGGGGGAGCTGAAATCCCAAGTCGGGAGGGTACAACCCAAGGCGATAACCTGGCAATGTCGCTCTTTGCCATTGCAACTCTACCAGTACTACGGAAATTAGAAGATCACGAAAAAGTGGCACAAGTATGGTTAGCAGATGACGCCACAGGAGTGGGTACTCTTCACGCACTTTTAGGATGGTGGAAAGATATCATTGAAGAAGGACTTAAGTATGGCTACTTCGTGAACCAGGAGAAATCTTGCTTAATCCTGAAAAATCCTGAACATTTACATACAGCTCAGGAAATATTTTCCGATTGCAATATAGATATCAGAATAGATGGTCAAAGGCATTTAGGAGCTGTGCTGGGGACGCCTGAATTCAAGGATACCTACATTAACAACCTTGTAGTTGAGTGGAGTGATATGCTAAAAAAGTTAGTACAGTTTGCCAAATCACAGCCTCAGGCAGCCTACGCTTGTTTTACGCACGGTGTCCGCCACAAATTTACATATTTTATGAGGACACTAGATATCAGCTCTTATATGGGCCCTCTTGACAAAATAATCACTCATGAGCTTATTCCAACTATATTTGGTTGTCCAGTATCTCCTATACACCGAGAACTTATGTCATTACCATTAAAGAACGGAGGTATGGGAATGCCACAATTGGAGTATCGAGCGAAAAGAGAACATGCAGCATCGCTTTTGGTAACCCGGGGACTGGTAAATTCCATGAAAGGAAAATCTCTTGCTGCAACTGACACGGAATCGAGAGATGAGCTTCAAGATATGTTAAAACAGCGTGTTTTGGAATATAAAGAACAACAAGAGGAGATACTTAAAAAGGTTGACAAGAAGACTGCAAGGGTTTTGGAGCAGATTAGCGAACCAGGGAGCTCAAATTGGCTCTCATGTCTACCACTAAGAAAACATGGTTTCGTTCTAAATAAATCTGAATTTAGGGATTCTATCAGATTGCGGTACAACTTAGATCTGGATCGTTTACCTTCACACTGTCCATGTGGAAAAACGTTTGATGTGAACCATTCTCTAAATTGCCATCTTGGTGGCTACATCATTATCAGACACAACGAGATTAGGGATTTTTTAGCTGGCTTGCTGAACACTGTTTGCTCGGACGTGGAAGTTGAACCTCAGCTACAAGAACTAGAAGGAGAGCAGTTCACGAGGTCATCAACACTTACGGGTGACCAGGCAAGACCCGATATTAGAGCTCGTGGTTTCTATAGGCCGGGCCAAGTGGCTTTTTTCGATGTTAAGGTAATTAATCCCAATTCTAATTCCTACCTTCAACATTCGACAAAGAAGACTATGGAGAATGCCGAGAAACAGAAATCACGATGCTACAACGAGAGAATACTTAATGTAGAGCACGGATCATTCGCTCCATTAATTTATTCAGTAACGGGTGGCATGGGACCTCAAGCCAGGACATTTGAGAAACTGCTTTGCAACAAACTTGCTTATAAGAAGAAGCAGAATTACAACGATATTATAAATTATTATCGGTGTAAATTATCATTTTTAATTAGGAAATTAATTTTATTGTGTATTAGAGGATCAAGAAATACCTCAAACAAAACTTACGAATTATCTAACATGGATGATTTAGAATTTAACTCTTTCGAATCGAAAGTCAACTAATTTTTTTCAGTCCCATGGACTGGGTTTTATTTTTGCAATGATGATGTTCATAATATATAACCTGTAATACTATTCTGTATATATCTAATTTCGTTTTCCAAAAAATTTTAATTCTGTTAACAGACAAGCTCTCTTACACAACGTGAGAGTACTATGCCCGGAGTTAAGCTTGATTGCAATCAACATGTACCGGAAACCTTGCCGGCTATTTGTTGGGGGAGCTGAAATCCCAAGTCGGGAGGGTACAACCCAGGGCGATAACCTGGCAATGTCGCTCTTTGCCATTGCAACTTTACCAGTACTACGGAAATTAGAAGATCACGAAAAAGTGGCACAAGTATGGTTAGCAGATGACGCCACAGGAGTGGGTACTCTTCACGCACTTTTAGGCTGGTGGAAAGATATCATTGAAGAAGGACTTAAGTATAGCTACTTCGTCAACCAGGAGAAATCTTGCTTAATCCTGAAAAATCCTGAACATTTACATTCAGCTCAGGAAATATTTTCCGAATGCAATATAGATATCAGAATAGATGGTCAAAGACATTTAGGAGCTGTGCTGGGGACTCCTGAATTCAAGGATACCTACATTAACAACCTTGTAGTTGAGTGGAGTGATATGCTAAAAAAGTTAGTACAGTTTGCCAAATCACAGCCTCAGGCAGCCTACGCTTGTTTTACGCATGGTGTCCGCCACAAATTTACATATTTTATGAGGACACTAGATATCAGCTCTTATATGGGCCCTCTTGACAAAATAATTACTCATGAGCTTATTCCAACTATATTTGGCTGTCTAGTATCTCCTATACACCGAGAGCTTATGTCATTACCATTAAAGAACGGAGGTATGGGAATGCCACAGTTGGAGTATCTAGCGAAAAGAGAACATGCTGCATCGCTTTTGGTAACCCGGGGACTGGTCAATTCTATGAAAGGCAAATCTCTTGCTGCAACTGACACGGAATTGACAGAAGAGCTCCAAGACATGTTAAAACAGCGTGTTTTGGAATATAAAGAACAACAAGAGGAGATACTTAAAAAGGTTGATAAGAAGACTGCAAGGGTTTTGGAGCAGATTAGCGAACCAGGGAGCTCAAATTGGCTCTCATGTTTACCACTTAGAAAACATGGTTTCGTTCTAAATAAATCTGAATTCAGGGATTCTATCAGATTGCGGTACAACTTAGATCTGGATCGTTTGCCATCACAATGTCCATGCGGAAAAAAGTTTGATGTGAACCATTCGCTAAATTGCCATCTTGGTGGCTACATCATTATCAGACACAATGAAATTAGGGATTTTTTAGCTGGCTTGCTGAACACTGTTTGCTCGGACGTGGAAGTTGAACCTCAGCTTCAAGAACTAGAAGGAGAGCAGTTCAAGAGGTCCTCAACACTAACGGGTGACCAGGCAAGACCCGATATTAGAGCTCGTGGTTTCTATAGGCCGGGCCAAGTGGCTTTTTTCGATGTTAAGGTAATTAATCCCAATTCTAATTCCTACCTTCAACATTCGACAAAGAAGACTATGGAGAATGCCGAGAAACAGAAATCACGATGCTACAACGAGAGAATACTTAATGTAGAGCACGGATCATTCGCTCCATTAATTTATTCAGTAACGGGTGGCATGGGACCTCAAGCCAGGACATTTGAGAAACTGCTTTGCAACAAACTTGCTTATAAGAAGAAGCAGAATTACAACGATATTATAAATTATTATCGGTGTAAATTATCATTTTTAATTAGGAAATTAATTTTATTGTGTATTAGAGGATCAAGAAATACCTCAAACAAAACTTACGAATTATCTAACATGGATGATTTAGAATTTAACTCTTTCGAATCGAAAGTCAACTAATTTTTTTCAGTCCCATGGACTGGGTTTTATTTTTGCAATGATGATGTTCATAATATATAACCTGTAATACTATTCTGTATATATCTAATTTCGTTTTCCAAAAAAAAAAAATGTAAGGAACTGTTGACAGTTTTGAATGTGCGAAGACTGGAAAACAGCAAGCAACTGATCTGAAAAGAAAATATTAGGTTGTGATTGTCCCGTTCGTAATATACATCAACATTATATGTACATTAAATCAAAAGTGGTGAAGTAATCTTGAATGAAAGCGTGAGAAACCTTAGCATAATGTGCATAGTAATTTTATTATCTTATTGGAAAAAGTATAAAAACACCTTCCCTTATAGTTATAATATGTCATGTAGAGAATGAGGTGAGGTAATTAGCCTGAGAACAGTTGATGGTGAGGTATTTAAACCTACCTATCTCGTTAAAAATAACTTTTTTTATAATATAATTTTGTTTCAGTTGCTTTTTTCATTCATTGGACAGTACTCTCCTTTGAATTAAATGCTGGAATCGTGCCAGGTTTCAGACACATGTCGAATACATCAACGGACTCCGTATTTACCATCTCCAATAAAAAGTGAGCATGATGAAATACCAGCAGAATGTAAAAAAACCAAGGAATTATCTACGTGGCTTGAACATTTTAATATAGGATCAGTTTATCAGTGTTCATCAATCAAAACATTTATTGTCCTTCCTGCTTTGCTTCTGCAAAAGCCATCCGCAAAAAGTAAAAAAGCTGAACATAAAGTCTTGTTGAAAAAACGGTTAGAATTATGGAGGCAGGGGAATATTTCTGCACTTACGAGGGAAGCGAGAACTATACAACGACAACTAGCAAGGAGCTCTCGGAAGCAAGAAAAGGATTGTGCGAGAACATTTGCCAACCTCATGTTTGAAGGGAAAGTCAGCTCTGCGGTGCGCATGTTGTGTGATAACGATAATAAAGGAATACTAGAAATGTCTACAGAGACTATAGATTTAGACTATGGATTTAAAGAATCGAAACTGTTTGGACTCGCAACAACTTGTCGTGCAGTGCGCGTTTTTAATATCGAAACTCTTTTAAGAGAATCGAAACTGTTGACTCGCAGCAAGTTGTTGCGCGCATTTTTGTAATATCGAAACTCTTTTAGGAGAAACGAAACTGTTTTGACTCGGATCGCAGCAGTTTGTCGCGCGCATTTAAAAAAAATCATCGAAACTCTTTTAAGAGAATCGAAACTCTTTTAAAAAAATCGAATCCTTTTTGACTCGCAGAAACGCACGCATTTTTGTTATTACGAAACTTTTATAAGTTATAATATAACGAAACTTTTAAATATATAAAAGGAGAAACGAAATAATTTTAAACTTAAAGCAATATGTTGGATCAGTGGCGTAACGTTGCCTGTTGGCGCCCCCCTGCCGAAAAAAGCGCCCCCCTGTTGGCGCCCCCTCCCCTTTTGGTGCCCCTCTCTAAAATTGAACAAATTAGGTGATTTTAGAGAATACGCCGGTAAAATCTCTAAAAAAGTGTGTATCTAGAGCAAAACGCGCAGTTTTGCTAGTACTTTAGTTAAGTTTTCGAAATTGTCCCACATTCAAACGACGATTTGGCGCCCCCCTAAGACGGCGCCCCCCTGCACAGCGGGGTCAGCAGGGCCTTTCGTTACGCCACTGTGTTGGATGATGATTAATCACTCTACACTCGACTGTCTACGTGACTTTTTTAACACTTCCTCCAGGTGGCTCTGAATGACTATTCGAAACCCTAATCCTCTAATCTGATCCCAACCCTAACCCTAACCCAATCCCTAACTGAAGCATATGCTGAAACACTAACCCTAACGAGAAATTAGACTAATTACTTCCTTATATGGTCATATTGTAGGTTTACAACGGCCTACCAGGCCGACGCGCGCCGAGTTGGACTCGTCGACGGTCCTGGAACAGATATTTTACGAGTTACATACATGTTACATGGTAAGGTCTCCTCCTAGTCGTTGGAGTGGCCTGCATCACACACATCGCGTTGGCGGCGTAACATATGTCTCCACTGTACTCGGTTGGTAGCCAAAGCTTCTGTTGTGTCGTTGTCGATGTTTTCAACACCTGTAAACTTAGCAGCATCTTCGAGTACGCAGGACTTCCAGTTCTTACGGGGTCTGCCCCTTGACCTCTTTCCATAGTTTGGCTTCCAGTTCAACAGAAACCTCGGTAGTCTAGAGTCTGGCATTCTAACTACATGTCCATACCAACGTAGCCTGGCAGCACTGATGAAAGTCTCAACTGACTTGATGCCAGCCCTCCTAAGAACTTCGTCGTTGGTTACATGAAAGAACCATTTAATCCTAAGGATCCTTCTCAAGGAGGTTTGATGGAAAACCTCGAAACGTTTCATCTGCTTTTTGGTGGTGTTCCAGACTTCAGCTCCATACAACAAGATGGTGAGGACAGCAGCCCTATAGATCCTGATCTTGGTTGGAGTCTTTATAGTTCTGCTATTCCAAATGTTCCAGAGCTGATGAAAGGCGCCATTAGCCTTCTGGATACGGACATCCAGGTCTCTGTTGATTGTCCCATCCCCACTAATAGTTGCACCCAGGTAGACAAAGTTGCTAACCTGCTCGACGGGTTCACCCTCAACCGACAGCTCAATACAATCATCCTTGATGAAAGGTCGCTGGGAGGCGCACTTGCTTACAGCCATGCATTGGGTCTTCTTTGCATTTATTCTGAGCCCAGCGTAGGAGCTGTAATGAACTAATAGATCAGTTGATTCCTGTAGGCCTTCCCCTGAGTTGTCCATAATAGCCATGTCATCAGCATAATCGGTGTCCAGAATGACCTTTTCCTCGACCGTCTTCATCTCTTTCTGCAGCACTGCGCCTTGACTGATGGTCTTGTTGGTCTCAGCCAGAAATGCAGAAAAGTTTAGGCAGAAATTAAAGACAGGAGGTGCTTGAATGTCACCCTGACCTGTGCCTGAGTTAACATCAAACCAGTCTGTCAGCTCCCCATTAACCCTCACGGCACTCATGGTACCCCCAAAAAATGACTGAAATATTCTGACATATTTTTCAGGCAGCCCATAGTGTCTCATACTGCACCAAATAAAGTCCCTTCTGATAGAATCGAACGCTGCCTTGAAATCCACAAAATTAATGTAAAGAGGAATGTTAAACTCAAGACAGTTATGAATAATAGTTCGGAGAGAATAAATCTGATCAATACATGAGCGGTTCTGTCTAAATCCGCACTGATTCTCCCTGAGGAGACACTCCATACCAGCATGTAACCGCTTAAGAAGAATCATCTGAAAAAGCTTGGATGCTGTAGACCTTAAGGTGATCCCTCTGTTGTTCCCGCAGACTGAAGTGTCTCCTTTCTTCCCAATAACAATGATCACACCCTTTAACCAATCTTCAGGAACAGTCTCTTCTTCCCACACTTTCTTGAATAGACACTCTAGTTGATCAACTAGAGCACTCGCACCATACTTCAGTTGCTCGTTAGTTATCCCGTCCACTCCTGGGCTTTTGTTATTCTTAAGCTTTGTCAGGGAATAACTAATCTCGTCTCTGGTGGGTGGTCCATCCGAACAAGAGAGAGAGTTAAAGTGGGGTTGGGGTGGTACTGTATCAAGGTCGGCAAGGTTGACACTTGATGATGGGGGGTTCAGAAGTTCAGTAAAGTGCTCCTTCCACCTATCCCTCTGCTGTTGGGGATCCGTGATCTTCCTACCGTCCTTGTCCCGGACACAAGATGCTTGAGGCTTCTTGTTCTTACCAGAGATCTTCTTGATCTTTGCCCATACCTCACGCTGCTGACCTTTGCTCGCTGCTTCCTCAAGATCAGTAGCTACTCTAACTGCCCAGTTATTGTCGTCTAGCTTGCTGCTTTTCTTGACTAACTTATTAAGTTTAGAATACTCTGACCTGTTAGTGTCCGAGTTTGGGTCTTTGCGCTTAAACTGTGCCCGCTGAGTCAATAAATCCTTGGTCTTCGGTGACAGGTGTTGCTCCTTTGCCTTCCGGGGTCTTTTGCCTAGTACCTCCAGTGAGACATCAGTGACGGTCTGACTGAGATTACGCCACATATCCTCGAGGTCGACCTCACTATCCAGACTTGCAAATCGGTTTTGAAGAGCCACATTGTACTCTAAAACCGTAGTACTATCCCTCAGGCGCTCAATGGCAGGCACATTGGGCCTGTTGGCGTTGATCTTTGTCACTGACTGAAGTTTGATTTTCAGCAGTCCTAGAACCAGATAATGATCGGAGCCGATGTCTGCCCCGCGACATACCCTAACATCAAAAAGTGACTGACGAAACCGCTTTCCAATGCAGATATGATCTATCTGATTGACGGTGAGCCCGTTGGGGGACCGCCATGTTCCCTTGTGAATGTTCTTGTGCTCGAAGAGAGTTCCCCCGATGACAAGCTGGTTCGTCGCACAGAAATCCACAAGTCTTGTCCCGTTGTCATTTGATGAGCTATGGAGTGATTCCCCACCGATGACCGCTTCACTTCCATATCTGCCTGATGTTACTTTTGCATTAAAATCGCCGAGCAGTAACTTGATATCGTGACGAGGTAGCCCATCAAATGTATCTGTGAGTGTCCTATAAAACTTATCTTTCTCACTCTCCTCTGCACCCTCAGTTGGAGCATAGGCCACAACAACAGAGATGTTGATTTGCTTACTATGCAGCCTAGCAGTTAAAACCCGCTCCGATGTGGGAGTGAACGATATCAGGGAGTTTCTGATTCGTTTTGAAAGACTGAGACCGACTCCCTGTCTCTTGATCCCGTCGACTCTACCGGAATGGATGAGTAGACTGCCATTGTCCAGTAGAGTGGTGCCAGATCCAGGCATGTGAGTCTCGGTGATCCCCAAAAGATCCAATCTGTACTGATCAATGTTTTTACTAAGTTGGTAGAGCTGTGTAGATGAGCTGACAAGAGATAGAACGTTCCATGTTCCAAAACGTAAAAACTGTTTGCAATAATTTACTGGATTGGATTTGTTGGAAGCAGGGTCAACATGGATGATCTGTTGACTAATAAATCTGGTCGGATGACGAGTACCCCCTCTTCTCATCAGGCGACTGGGGTCCCGTAGGCTTTGCCCAGCCTCCGTCATGCTGGAACCATCCGTCCTTGAATTGGAAGTAGCACTCCGTCCATTTGATGTGTGTGTTGTTTCAGTAGCGTTGTTATTTGAGGTGGAAGGGATGCTGGCCCTTCGCACCCGATGAACTGCATGCAGTCCTAACGAGACAGATGTCCCGGTTATATTTTTCGACCTGTACTGGTCTAGAGCCGCAGTGTTCTGTTACCGTTCACCTGTTTTAACTGGAATCACCCAGAACAGGCTACTAAGCTTAACAGTGGCACCTCGAGAAGGGTGTGGCTCTTCACCACGCACTACGGATCTTGGGCTCGGAGAGGTTGTGTAAGACACTTCACGAGCCCCTGGAGTTTGGAAAACCCCTTAACCTTTAATTTTTACGAGTATCACCCGTTAAGTCATATCACGTGATCGAGACAGTTTTTCGCCGACATCTCGCTAGGGGAGCATTTTAGCCCTATGTCATGTGTGGTGATTCGGAATCAGCGTTCGAAAATATATCGAACCAGGTAGATTTTAACTGTCAGGGGCCCTTATAGAAAAATCTCGAATATCGACTGTAGAGTGATTTAGCACGCTCGCAATATGTTTCCTCGCGAAGAATTGTTTATTGTTCATGTGCGGATTTTAAGCAAATATTTTACCGTCAAACTGCTTCAAAACCCTTGAAGTCTTTTTATTAACCTTTTCGACAACTAACGAGGAGCTCTCGGAAGCAAGAAAAGGATGTGCGAGAACATTTGCCAGCCTCATTTTTGAAGGGAAAGTCAGCTCTGCGGTGCGCATGTTGTGTGATAACGATAATAAAGGAATACTAGAAATGTCTACAGAGACTATATATTTAGACTATGGATTTAGAGAATCGAAACTGTTTGGACTCGCAACAACTTGTCGTGCAGTGCGCGTTTTTAATATCGAAACTCTTTTAGGAGAATCGAAACTGTTGTTTCGCAGCAAGTTGTTGCGCGCATTTTTGTAATATCGAAACTCTTTTATGAGAAACGAAACCGTTTTGACTCGCAGCAGTTTGTCGCGCGCATTTTAAAAAAATCATCGAAACTCTTTTAAGTTTAACGATAATAATGGAATACTAGAAATGTCTACAGAGACTATTGACCAGCTATTGAAGCTAGCATCCAGAACCAATGCCTATACTTATAGTGGAGAATAGTTTATTTTTTGGACCGATCGAACAAATAGAAGAATCGTTGTTTTATAATATAGATGAGACAATGGTATTTAGGGCGGCAAAATTTACTAACGGGTCTGCTGGACCATCACAAATTGATGCTGATTTTTTTAAATTCATTTTGACGCATAAGAATTTTAAAGAAGAAGGAAAGAAACTAAGAGATACATGATTGCTAATTTTGCAAGGTTGATCGCATCAAAACCGTATAATCCTGATCTGTTGGACTCCTGTACGTTAACAGTAGACTCATTCCGTTTAACTGCGTGGTTACTGACTGCTTGTTGAACACTGCGATGGTGAGAGGCCAATTAACGAAAAGAAGAATTAGAGGATCCTAATTCATCGTTAGCTACGACTCTACGACGGTAGTGCATACTCAGTAATCGTACAGTACTTATCTTTAAGTAAAGAATCTGCAGCCATGCTGTGGTACTGGTTGGAGTTGCACTGTCCGACTGTGTCTGCTGTCTCGTTGGGATGTCTCAATCTGAGGTTGCGGTCAACAAGAGATGGGGATGGTCAGCATATACAAGTTTTATCGTACAACTTCGGCAGTGCATATGAGGTGAGTTGTACTTATCTGGAGATAAAGATTCTGCAGCCAGCGTTGACCATGCTTTGTAAGACTAAGATTATGTCAGAGAAAGAATTTTATTTACGTTGAGAGTTCCAGCTCCGAAAAGAATGATTTCTTGCAATCCTCAGGTAAACTATTTTTGATTTTTGCTTTTATTTCAGTTGTATGACTTACGCCAGTACGATCATACTCCAAATTGAAATACGTTTTAATTGAATGTTTCTGTTTTCTGAAAGTTATTTTTCGGTTTCTCAACAAAAGATGAAAATCAGCCAACTTAAAAAAGCCTCTGTTTTTACTTTTGTGGATGTCTGTTCTAAGTTTTACAAGCTAACAATATACCAAGCTAATGGCACCAACCCACTTTTCCTGTAAATAATATTCTATCAGTCGCTTTTAGAGTCAATCTCACTGAGTCTGACTCTACCGTCATTAAAGCAGCAAGTGGGCAGGAGATAGAGCAAGTAGATGACTTTGTCTACCTTGGAAGCAGAATAATGAGTGCGGAGAAGGACTTTGATGTTAGGAAAGCAAAGGCATGGGGGGCCTGTCATCAGTTAAAGACAACCTGGAAGTCTGGAATGCGCAGGGACTTAAAGATCCGTGTCTTTCGAGCAACGGTTGAGCCCGTACTCCTGTACGGCTCTGAAGCTTGGACGATAAGCCAATCCATGACTAAGCGGATCAATGGATGCTACACTAGAATGCTCCGGATGGCCTTGAACATACGTTGGCCACAAATCATCAACAACAGTGATTTATACGGCAACATCCCCAAGCCATCAGCGATGATAGCCTCCAGAAGAATGAGACTGGCTGGACATGTAGCCAGGCATGACGACCTTCTGGCAAACCAACTTCTGTTCTGGGACCCTCAGCATGGATACAGGAGACCGGGGAGGCCCCACCTTACGTTTCTGGACATGCTAAAGAAGGACACCAGCCTTTCCTGTGTTGAAGAGATAAGATCTGTTATGCTTGACCGCGACGTGTGGCGAGGAATTGTAGTTGCTCGGACCAAGAAGCCGACTTAAGTCAGTAAGTCAGTAAGTCAGTCGCTGTTCGCCAAAGCTCAAACGTTTCATTCAATTTCTTTCAGTTTCATCGCAATAACCAATGGCACTCTTTAGTCTTCATGTGAGCATTTTGTCAAGCAAAGATCAAAAAGCATGTGTCTTTCTTCTGCCGTTAAAAAAGCACGTGACTTCCTTACACTGTTCACATTTTCCGAGTCTCTTATGCAACCAAGGAGTTTTATAAACGGGCCATGACAATGAATTAAAAAAGGCTTTCTCCCTTACCAGCCCAAGAACGTCGTGGATTCTTAAAAGCTGGTTTAAATAAAAACCTTTTGTGAACTCCACAGCTCTAGGGGGCCGGTTACAATGAAATAATGAAATTGTTTCTTTAGATGAAAACGTGACCCTCTAACACGTGACCCTCCTCCTACAATCAAATTGGGTTCTCAGCCGCGTTAAATTCAATAACAGTTATTTGTAACAACGTAAATGAATATTGGATGACTGTAATGAAAACCACGACTTACCATTTTGAAAGAATAGATCGTTAAATCTTCATCTTCATTTGCTTGATTGCTTGTAGCGATATCGTGCTAACAAGCAACCCCACATTTATTGATATCAAAAGTGCTCGTCACCAGTAAACGATGATATATTCCTTGCAACGGATGTGCCTTTCTTTTCCTTTTGTTTGAATTTAATACTGTGAAAATAATTATCTCTATTGTGAACTACCATAGGACCATGGACCTCACAAGAGGAGATAGTATTTTAACTCACTTACTGCAGTAATGGTAAGGTCATTTTTTATCGGTTTTCGAACAAACGTGCACACAGAAAATAATAACCTGGTATAATAAGTTTTCTTGGGGGTTTGACAATATGTGTGCACACTACGAATTCTTGCAAGTGGACAGAAGAATTTGTTAAACCATGGAGCTGATCAACCCTCATTTAGCTAACTTTAGCTCTTTTGTCCACACTTAGGGCTAGACAATCCTTTGATGCAGTATATAAGTCTGGGCCTATTGTAAACTTGTAAGGAAGCTAGTATAATCTCAAAATGGGAAAACGTTTTACCATAAGCTGCCCGGTATCCGATGTTGTTACATTACTTTCATGCAATGACTGTGGTTCCCGGAACAGTTTACTTAATTTATTTGGTTATTTTATTTTATTTTTTTCTAGGTCAGCTTCATGTTACCATTTTGCATAATGCTTATTAACTCTCAACTCAGCGGTTACTTTTTATTTTTCATTCCTATTACTGATTATTCGATTAATTTAAATTTGTCCAATATTATACTTACTGTAATATTGACGTACAATTGCAATTGCGGGATTCTCCAATTGTTGCATCAAGGTGTGGTCTACTTCATCCAGCTCAATTATAAATAAACAAAATATTTCGATAATTTCTCACATGAAAACCTGCAAAAAGACGTGATTATGCTAAACCTTGTATTATAGATGTTCAGCCAAATTAGTTAATAAACGGTTGCGTTTAAAATGCAAATGTTTACTGCGACTGTAATTTTAAAGATATTCGTTATTAAAGTTTCAATTTTGTACAATTTGTTGTATATCAGAGCTTATCAAGATGGTTATGTAAATATATGTATTATAGGTATTGGTGCTCATCTATAAAACCAGACATGACGTGGTGACTGGTGGCTTAATTTGAGTTTTACTTTATAGCTTTATGAACAATTGTTCAGAAAGTAAGACTCAAATGCAGTCGTGATCAGAGCCAAACAAAATTAAACTCAGGTTTGTTTGGGAGAAAAGTTTGAGCAACATTTCGCATCTTCTCAGAGCCTTTGAGGAAACTAAAAAACAAAAATATCGTCAGCACTAAATAAACCTAACATTATTTTCTTTGTTATAAAAGAGCATAATATGGAGTCATGTCTAGAAAGCAATCTTTAAAGTGGTAGGCAGTCAAGTTATAGCTTTATAGGTCTTTAAATCATTAAACACCATACATGAAGCATACAGTGTCTCAAAATGAAGGATTTGTCAAAATTTATAAAGCTTTTTAAGTGCGTTATCACGAGTAACAAATGCATGCAGAGCTCTAACCTTCTGTCATCAATCCAGCTCAAAAAGCCGTTTCAGGCTTTCAGTATCATGTGTAACTGTATCTTCAATTCTTAAAGTTTCCATTTGTTTTCGTAAGCCAGTTATATAAAGATTCCTGGGTAATATGAAATTTGTAAAAACC